CCATGTTCCTCTTTTTGGGTCTGGCTTACCTCACTCAGGATGGTGTTTTCTATTTCCATCCATTTGCCTGCAAACTTCAAGAAGTCCTTGTTTTTTACTGCTGAGTAGTACTCTAATATGTATATATTCCATACTTTCTTCATCCATTCTTCAATTGAAGGGCATCTAGGTTGTTTCCAGGTTCTGGCTATTACAAACAATGCTGCTATGAATATAGTAGAGCATATACTTTTGTTGTGTCATGGTCAACTTTTACATGGTTGTTTGAATCCAAATCAAGATCCTCATGTTTGTGCAACAAGCCTTTTACTCCCTTGTGCTATACCTTTCCATAACTGGCCAGAACAGTAGGCTCATTTGTGCTAGTACAATTATAGGCACACGAATGATTCACTGTGCTACAAAATTATGATTGCTCCAATGTCACTGGGTGACAGGAAATTTTCAGTTCTATTATAATCTGACATGATCACCACCATATATGTAATTTATGGATATAAATAAAGGAATGATAACCACTTACAAATAAGATGTACATATTCAAGCAAGTAGAGGACATGGGAACAAAATGAATAAATTACAGGCATACTGTACACTATTATCAGAGTGTTTCTAATATTAGAAAGAAGTTGGTGGCTTATAAGTTAACAAATAATTTACATATATAACTTCATAAGAAAATAAACAAAATCATAGAGGAAGAGGATGGACAAGACACAGTAACTGATGTTCAGGAGCAGGCAGCCTAGTCAGTGTGTAATGGCCATGGTGCCACTATCTCACCATGACCAGAGGTTCTCCCTTTATCCTACATTATCTCCCTACTATGGACACTGGCTATATGTCAGATACACCCTACACATCTTCTATTAGAAAGCTAAGGATGTGTATTATATTGGCCAGACTCTAGACAATGTGGTTGTTGTATGGTTCACCATATAACATGTTTCATCCTATTCTTTAGAAGAACAGTATTAAGCATTTAACAATTTTATTCTATTCTAGATATTGTATTCATAAAGACTGGAGAGAGAGAGACGGTTCTTTCAAGGGCTTGCCGAACAGACCATTCTTGGTGGTATAAAGTATAGTGTGACCAGTTGATCATATTATTGGTAGGAAACAATAGTCCAGACCACTTCCTCTGAACTTGGAAGACACAGTCTAAACCTTGCAACTTTAGGAAGCATGTGGTCAGTCTCTACAAATGTCTGGAAATGTGTTAACTTGGGGAGGAGAGTATCAGAGAGGTTTGCTTAAACATCTTGTATAAAATCCCAGAGACAAGAAAGACAAAAGTGACAAGCAACTGTTAGTAATTCCTTACAGCCAGCATATAAGATGCATGTGAATGACGCAGCCCAAGATAGCTCCGAATACTCAGAAACCAGATCAAAATTAGCTCTGAAAATGACTCCCCAGAATTTGGTCTCTATTATCCCATACAAAGAAACAACAAGGTGTTTTGGTAGCGATGTGACATGATCAGATTTGAATTTTTAAAATATTAGTTGGTGAAAGGCAGAAAAGGGGTGTGACCAAGTGGTAAGATGGCTGGTAAGGTAGCCATTGTACTACCTAGCCAAACTCTGGACACCGTGATCACACAAGTTAAAAAAATCTTAGATGATCTCTCCAATCTCTGGTTAGCATTTTTAAGTATATAAATCATGTATAAAATATATAAATACCTTAATAAATTAATATACTTTACTGGAACTTAATGAGAAGTCTAAAGTTGAACCAATGGGTTCACATGCTTCAACCCACAGTAAATTAACACATCCATAAGATCAAATCTAGACTATAGATAGAATTTTTATGTAAATTGACATGTTACAGTGAATGTTGCAGATATGGTCTAATTGGATAACCTCATATGAAACTCAGAAAACTGATTATCTTCAAAACTGTAAGACATCAGGGAATAGTCTCCTGAAGACAGACCATCAAGTAACACTGCCACCTACAGGCTGAACCGATAAGGATCTGTTTGTCTGGTCCTGACAGTCTTCTCCAAACATGTAAGAAAAGTGCCTTAGTTGTTTAGAACATCTACCTGCCTGTTTCCCTTAGGCATGTGGATAAATACCACCTCCCATCATTGTGGGAATAATGTACTGAATAAATATACTGAAGTTCCCCCTCATTACTACTAATGCTCACTTCACTCTGCAGTCAGTCAGAAGAGCTTGAAGTTAGTGACATTACTGTGAAGGTCCACAAACATCAGTCCAAGGCTTAGGTGTGTACATAGGCACAGAAAACACAAATGCGTTATAGAAGGATGGGGTGGGATGGGAAGGGGACTTACTGTGAGACGGCTTAGAAAAAGAAAGTTAAGGAGATGGGAAGAGAAGGAAAGAAAAGAAAAGAAAAGAAAAGAAAAGAAAAGAAAAGAAAAGAAAAGAAAAGAAAAGAAAAGAAAAGAAAAGAAAAGAGGAGAGGGAAAGGATGGGAGAGAAGAAGAAAGGGAATAGGAGGAAATATGAAAGAAGGGGAAAGGAAGGGAATGGAAGAACTCTGTGCAGGGGGGGGGAGGGAAATTTCGCTTCAGCTCTAGAGAATAAATTTAATGAGAGTGTGAATTTTAGTGCAGGTTTCCACAGCACATACACTACATTTGAAGCCACACAGAGAACACTAGCATGGCTCCTGCCCAAGGATGACATGAGAATTCATGAATCATTCATTCCATATTTTTTAACTAAGCGGCAAATGAACCAACGTCCTCAACACAAAAGCTAATTTTTGAGACAGTGTCTGTCTGTCTAGCCTTGTAAATGTTAACTCGATTCGTGATATAACCAGGCCAGCTTGAAGATATACAAGTATATTTTTACTTATTATAAGGGACAACTCACGCCATGAGAATGGGAAGTCCGAGCTTTCTGGGTCCCACAGGAATCACCCAGAGAGAGTGAGCACCTTATCCATCCCAGTTTTTCTTCCTGGGCTCCAAGTAGCCACGCCTTAATTAGGTTCCACTTCTTAGAGGTGATTGGTTAAAAAAGCTTCCCCCATCTCCTCCCCCTTTTGTCTAAACAAGATCGACCCAAACCCAATACAACTATATACAATAGGAACAGATACAAAATATAAAATTACAAACAATATAAGCAATATTAATCCAAGGAACATATAACAAAAACTTTAATAAACATTCTATTGCATTGGAAATAAGCTTGGCTAAACCATGAGGAAGGTAACGACGACTATCTAATCTTCAACCCCATTGAAGATCTGAGAAGGGAAACAATATTGCTTGAGTGCAGGAAGTGCAATCAAGCAGCTTCCAAAATGTGCAACAAATGACAGAGACAATTGGCTACCTGGGCAATCACCCAAAGTCTCATTTGCAATGTTGAAGCAGCCAACTTTGGCTAAGGCCTAAAATGACTGACAGACCATTTTCAAAGGCAAGAAACTTTTCAAAACTGTCTTACCTGGTCTTGACAGGATTTGACAGTCCTGTTTGATCAATTTACGGACACTATGTATCTTTGTCAGTGGTTGAGGTAAGGGCATTTCTTTGCCCAAAAGCCAGTTCTGCCAAGAAGAAAACAAGTTCCAGGTGGAGTGCCTTCGGTGCTCAACATTCTTCAGTGCTGCCAGGAGCAATTATGTCTCACTTCAACAGAACATTAAGTTATTTAAATGCCATTTTCTATAGCTCTTTTAAGTGGTTGAATATTATCTATCTATGCAGAATATAATCTCTATGTACCTAAAGAACCTGATTAGTTTAACTATAAGTATGACAAACATAGATGACTATTGATCTATAATTCTTAATACCTATATAACTTAGGACAATAAACAACTTGCAATAAATGAGGATAATGACCTCCATATGTAAACAATGTATAATATCTTGATCAGAGGTATAAATGTACACTGCTATATTGTAAATATATACCAATATATTAAAAATGTTTTAAAGAGGTAGAAGCATGCATGCATATAATATTCAATATAATTTAACTTTTATCAATATATAAGAATCTATACCAATGTAATTGTCTATAAATAATAACTCACAAGTATTCACCCCATTATTCACTATTATTATTAATGTGAGTAAACTCATACCAATCTATTATCCCATCCAATTTTTCTTTTTTTTTAAAGGGATCCCTGAGTCTATAAAATTCCTACCCCAACCCTCAAACGTATACCAATTATAATCAACCCCTAAATGAAGTCCCTAACCCTGAGGATAAACTTTGTTGGAAGAGGGGATGTCATCTTCTAGAATTACTTCAAG